ATTGGTAAACTCTGGAGATCAGCAAAACTGTAATAGCCAGTATATAGGTTGGAACATATACTTAGTAATGACAGTAGACTACTGAAGAGCTCTAAAATAGTCATTTGTCCAAATTCTCTCAAATATATTTTTCTTAATTCTTTTTCCACTCATATCAAATATGTTCTTTCATCCATCCTAATGATATAAGGAATATTTTACTACTGTACCTTAATTTCAGCTTCAATTAAACAACTCTATTTCCAAATATTAAAAATTCAACTATACACACACACACACACACACACACACACACACACAGCTAAGACGGTACATTTCAAATGTCTCAGCACAAAATATAAGTGAGGTGATTAATATGTTAATTAGCTTCATTTAATTTTTTCCACATAATATACATATATTAAAACATCACAATGTAACCCATAAATGTATACAATGGTAGTTTATCAATTTCAAATAATATTAATTTGTCAAATGAAGGTGACATGTTGCTAAGTCTTTGTGGCTAGTTCTTATTATGTAAAGAAAATTGGAACTAGACCCAGAGGAAAAGAAGTTCCTTTAGATGTGAAACAAGTCAAATAATGCAGTATTCACAAATATGTTTTGTCTTTCTCAGCCAAGAAATGAATACATAAGGCAGGTTGCTAAAAATATGCCATTTGTTAGAGAGTACTATTTTTCACTATAGAATGACTAACATAAGAAAATACCACCTACTTAGTTTCATCAGAAAGCTTCCTACACTGCAGCAAGCTTGATTTTCCTGGGCTGAGTGTCTTATTGACAAAACAAAACAAGAAAAAAAATTAGAATTTTTCTAAGTGCCAACTCTTATTTGATTGAAATTTTACGTGAATGTACTACAATATTGCTTTAAGACCTCAGCATTTTTGAATAAATCTCTTATCTAAATACCTATGTATTTTTTTGCTGGATTATCATTTCTCACCCATACAATACTTTAATGACCTAATTATATTATTCAAGGAAGGTTTTCTCTGACCTATCTAGGGCAAGATTTAAGTTCTTGGTAGATGAAATGTTGGTTAAATCAAACAGAGAAAATTAAGCAACAGTGACTGGACTGCATTTAATTAACTCACATAAGTAAGATTATCCTTATTGAAAAGTTGTTTTATGTGTCTCAAGATTAAGTACATAGTTTATAATTTTTGTAACCTGCAAAATGTTAAGAAAATATTCCAGAAGCACACTGTTCATGTTCTGCAAGTAGTAGAAAAAAACCTAATTTAACTTCCAGTCACCGCACTAACAGAACAATCCTGATAAATAAATAAATATAAGCTAGGATCTAACATGACTGCAAACAATTATACTATACTCTGGATGTATTTTATGTTTTTATCCCCAAGCAAGTAACAATTATCCACAAATACATTCTTAGCATCTGAAAGCATAACTTAATTGCCTAATTAATACAGGTGATTTAGTACCCTTATTTTAAAAGCTGAGTAAAAGAATCAACAAAGTCGTAGACTTAATCATAAACGTTTATTCAGCCTCAATGTCTCTTTCAAAGTGTCAGCTCTAAAATTTAGTAGTCTCCGTTCCAGTGCATAAGATCGACTATTTAAAAGACAGCAATAATGGAGCTAAAATAAAGGCTAAAGCTAGCACTTTTAATCTCAACTACTAAAAGGTACCCAGGACTCTAACTCAGAAACATTCCAGGATGGAGGGGGCTTTTTCTAATATCAGTATTCATTAACACCCACGTTTCCAAACCACAACCCATATTTTGGATTGTTTGATGTTGTTTCTTCTTTAAAGTAAACACCAGGACAAAATCCAGAGTAAAGTTTATACATTCATTGGAGAGAGAAACAGAGATCAAAGGAAAAAGAACACACACATTCTTTGGGTGAGAACTCTTTCCCTTTTCAAGACTGATCTGTTTCATCAGGAGTTTGTGGGCAGAACAGACGATGAAACGTACTTACCTTCATTAGCAAGTTTTACACACATAACTGTATTTCAGTTTGCCACCAAATAAATCCTTTAATTTGTATATTATGTTTAGTTTTATGGTAATGGCAGCAATAGCTTAACAATGATTAGAGCTTATCTTTAGTTTAACAGCTTGCAAAAGACAACATTATTTACACTGTACAGCATATTAAAAAAAATCAATGTTTCCACACCCAGCCCAGCCAAAAAAACTTGTTAAAATTTCATAAAGAAACAATAGTTTACCCCAAAGAAGGATAAATTATCAGAATCTTTGTTTCTTAAAACCCGAGGTAAGCAGCTTCACCTAACAATGACACTAATCATCTAAAACTAAGCTAAGCTGTATTTTTATACTATTATGCACATTTAGTTATGTATCAAGCCCTAGAAAACACTTTCTGTGTATTTAAAGCATCATAAAAACTAAAGTTGCAAGTGGATGTGTCCTAATGTATTATTAGATCACAGGAAGAAAAGTCAAAATGCAAATAATGCCAAAAATAAGTATCCCAGCTTTTTTCTTTCTCTCTCCACTGATCACCCTGGGAGGCTCTTCAGCAAGGAGCCACCAGAGAATAACTTGAACTGGGATGTCTAGAAAACCAAGCCAACCGACTCTACTGTTAAGAAGAAATCTAGACAAGTTATTTCACGTGCACTGCATCCAACTCTACAAAGTGTATATATTTCAGAAGGTAAGTATTCCATAGCCTTCGTATTCCAGAAGCGTAGTCGAAACTAACAACACAAATCTATTCCTGGAACTGAAGGATCTCAAACATTTTCTAATAAGGCTTGACTTCATCTCCTCACTTGCCAGTTTGGACTCTCTAAAGTAGCTTGTCCTTGACATAATTTCTCAACAACCTCAATAGATCTTTGTATCTAACATGCCTTCATCTATTCTGAGTCCGTCATTGCCAACACATCCCCTCATGTCCAAGCCTTTCCAGTTCTCTACCTTCTGCTGCCAAGGCACTAAGTCCAGCACACTCTGGCTATGAGAAACTCTGGATTATTCATGCAGTAGTAGTGAGATTAAGCTGAGATCTTCTACTAATACTAGGCAGAAGTTTCCCCAGTGGGTTTGCTCTTTAGTTGATTTAAACAATGATATAGTGGCACTGGGGTTCAGAGTAGGATAAGCTAGGAAACTTATGGGATTTCAGGGGAAAGAAACGCCCCAAATCATTTTTCCCTTCCATGTCTCTTAAGAAAACGTTCTCTTCTGTGTCATACCTTAGTGGCACCCCAAAAATAATCTGGATACCCCACCTCTGCATAAAATACAGATCACAATCATTTTCAAGCATTATTCTTGCATCACAAATAAAACCCACCCCTTCTCCCAAGAGACTGGGATGCTTGGGAAAAAGCACTAGAGAATCTTTGCAAACACAGAGGCAATTTGTCCTATCTGAATACAGCAGAGAGATAAGAGGAAACTTCTAGTCCAGGCCAAGGTCCACTGACTATGACCTTGGCAAAAACACAGAAACTTGTTGTTGGCCAACTTTAAATGAAGCATCAAATTTGTCTCCTCCTTACTTCCCTTCCTCCAAGAACTCAGTCTTAGATGGAAATGGAATTCTAGGTCTTCTGACTGTACTCCCTCCGCCCTGGACTGCATGTAAGGTCAGTGGCAGAGCGATTCTAGCAGGTGCCACTGCTCTCTGTTCCTCCATCCTTCCTCGTCTATGCAGTCTGGGGTGCCCGGAGAACTGGGCACGCAGCGTGCCCCCTGGCCAGGGAACAGGACTGGCTGCAGACAGAGGCATTGGCGCTCTGCAGGGGATTTTGCAGCCTGCCTAGCTTGCCGGACAAACCCATTTCCTTGACGAAGGCAAAGCTCTATTCGTCAAGTTTCTCCAGCGGGTGGGAGGATGCCCAGACGTTCTCCCTGATCAAAGAATACAGAATCCGTCTGAACCTCTGAAATAGTAAAGTGTACCAGATGTCTAGGGGTAAAGAAGGGTGGAGGATTTGAATAGAAGATATGCTCCCAGTGTCGCCCCCTTTCCCGCTTTTTCGTTTGCACTGAGCGGGACATTCAAAGTATTTTGTGGTTTGTTGGGTTTTCTAAAGTTTTTGTTTTATATACATATTTTTTTTTTATTTTTATTTTTTTCTGGAAGGGAAGCAGGCAGCGGTGCCCACAGGCAGAGGAGCGTGTTGTTGCCCTGGGTGGTCCCGCTGGGCAGGCCCTCGCGGCCGAGCCGGGACCCCGGAGGGCGAGAGCGCGGCGAGGGGACCCCGCGGAGCGGCGGGGGAGGGGGGCTTCAGGCGGGTCAAGGACCAAGTGAGGCTGGAGCCTCCGCAGATGCCGCCCCTCCCAGCCCGGCTGCCGCCTCCCCGCCCCCTGCCCGAGTCCCCGGACCCGCTCCCACACCCGGGGCTGGGGCAGCTGGTTGCCCGGGCACCGGGGCCCCTCTCCGGCCCTTGCACTGCAACTGCGTGGGGAAACCGTGCCCGCGGGAGCAGGGGGAAAGGGATCTCACGAAGTTCTGGGATAAAAACGGGCTGTCGCTGCAGGCGCCTCTGTCACGCGAACCTCCGAGCGGAAATGCTCTGTCCCCGTGCCGGGCGGGGGCACGGGCGGGATTGGGGCCGGGGAGAAGAGGCAAAGTGGCCGCGCAGCTCCGACAACTTTGCTGGGAAAGCAGGAGACAGCCGGCAGCGCTAGTGCGGCTGCCTCCCCGGGGGAGACGAGCCCGCACAAGGCGCAGGGTCTGTACCCCGAATGCTGCCGTCACGGACCAGAAGGAGGACGGGGTGGCCGCTGGCGGGAGGAGCAGGCGGGGAGGGCGCCCAGCCCGGGAGTGCAGCCGGGCTCGGGAGAGCCGCCCTCAGCGTCCTCGGCCCCTTGAGGGGCGCCTGCGCCCGAGTGCGCGTCCCCCCTTGGCCCCCTCGCCATCCCGCGGGACCCCCAACTACTCCGCGGCGCGGGAGGAACAGCGGGAAGGAAGGAGAGGGGGAGCCGGGAGCGCGGAGAAGCGGCCGCGACGCCCGCCCGGACCCGCACGTACCTTGAGCTCCTCGATGTCCAGGTTCGTTGATCTGTCCATGGAGCGCAACTAAACGAAGTGGAGAGGAACCGGGCGAGGCGCAGCCAAAAGCAATCTAGTCTTTTAGTTTCCAGCTTAAACTCAGCTTTATCCTCCTCCAAGCCCCGGCAGCTCCTCTCAGTCTCATTCTCCGTGGTCACGCCGCCTCCACCGGGTTAAAAATAAGGAAGATAAATAAATAATAATGATAATTCACTTTGTTTTACTTCCTCAAAGATTTAGTGACAGGTGATCTGCACCGCGGTGCAACACAGCTGAGTCGATTGAAGTAGGGGCCAAAGGAAAAAAATATCCACTCTAAGATTATTTCTCCTTCTGCAATAAGCTTAGAAACCAGCGAATTGCTGCATCCCGAGAAAAAAAGCTGCTTCCCTGGTCAGCATCATGCGGCAAATTTCAAGCAAATGTGTTAAAACTGAAGAGAAGAGTGTATGATAAAAGCCTTCCTCCGCCAGGCTTACTCTGTTAGCTAATTTAGCTCCAGTCCCAGACATTAGCAATGATCAATTTCCCTGGCAAGATAACAGAATCCCCGAAGTCCTGCATAGACTTAAAAAATGTCTTGCAGCTGAGAGGTATTCTCTCAGTAGGGAAAAGAAGATAATAAAGTCAGAAGGGAACGTTCTCCTTTGAAGGTTATGCTAAAAGAGTTGAGAGAATAGGAGGTGGATCCTACGGAGAGAAAAGAGGGAGAGGGAGAGAAAGGGAGAGAGGGAGAGAAAAATTTTCCTCCTGCTTCGCTGTTTTACTGGCCTTCACCACCAGGTGACTGACTTCGCTTCTCTCTTCCCACAGCCAACACTAAGGGGATTTCTCTCATCTGTCAAAAAGCAACATTTCCTCTCCAGACAAATACTATCGCTGGGTCTTAAAGACTGCCCTCTGTCCGGAATCCACTAAGTGACAAGCATTTTAATTCATTGCATAGGTTGCTTCATTTTCTTCCTGCAGATCTGGGAGGAGCATGCTTGTGTGTATCATCCAATTTAAATGTATTCACTTTAGATCTCGCTGCTTTCAGCGACAGATTCTTTTTTTTTTTTTAATTTAAGAAAGACTTTTAAAGAAAGTGACAGATGAGAGTATTAAAGGAAATTTCCTGGAATTATGCGTCTTATGATAAAGCAGTCTTTTATTAGAAAACTGTTCTTTGCATAGATTGACAGGTCAGTGCATTTAACTTGTGGGTTGTAGATTTGGGAAACGGCTTGTTTTCATTTAAATGTCTTAGTGTAAAAGCTTGACTTTTGAAGGGTTTTAAAGTCTCTTTTATGATGACACATAACTATTGAGACTTAAAGATGTTTACAGATTTTGAAAAAGGTCTGAATAATAAACGTTTTTGTTTCTAAAAAAAAATCTCAATTTTTTTTTAAGGATTTAAACGTGTACATTTCAGTCTGATGGTCGCTCTCCCTCCCTGAATTCCAGACACCTGGTCTACTGGTCCACCTGTTACTACTGCCTCTTTAATTCCCATTCTTGCCCTCTCATTAAGGACAGCTGTCATTCTCTCTAGTTCCTTATAGATTTAACGTTTATGCTTCTGACCAAAGTAGCCTCAGCAGAGAAAATTTTTCTCAGGTGAGTCTCTCAGATATTCTCCTCCTTTATCCTCTTGTCATAGCAGCAATCTTAATTTCTCATTATTTAATGTATGCAGTTATTATCTGTTTTTTTGCATGACTCCTCCAGTAGACTCTAAACTCCTGAGGGCACATTCTGGACCGTTATTCACCAAAATGTCCCAAGAGCCTAGCAGCTAAAAAGCACACAAATGTGCATGGAACAGATAAATATGTGGAAAGAAACCTTTAGAGTTCGTATTGTAATGCCTGAAAGCCTGATGACTCCCTTCCCCATCCCACCTGCACCAGCACCAATGGTGCACGTCCCAGTTTTCCTCCTTGCAGTTTGCAGCTAATCCTGGAGAGCTCAGCTTTCTCATGCAGCATGCCCCGTTCTTTAATTTAAGCCTATTCTATTCCACACACTTATCCAAGCTACCCTTCTTTCAAGCTTTGACTTGTGACTACAGCTTTCAAGGTTAACATCAAGTAGCCAAAGTCCGTAAGGAGTAGGGCCTAACATCAAATTCTCAACAACAACAACAACAACAACAACAACAACAAAAAACAACTTCATGTGCTTATATCACATAAATATTTTGCAAAATAAATGATGAAAAATAATAAAGGTTCAAGTTGAGAGTAGGTGAATTTATATAAAACTTTTAACTCTAAAAACAAGCTTCTAGAAAGTACCAACTATTCAACATGAATAAAGATAACTACTAGGTTGATGCAAAAGTAATTGGGGTTTTTACTATTTAAAGTAATGGCAGAAACCACAATAACTTTTGCACCAACCTAATACATAGGTTTTTGAAAGTCAAGTCTTTCCATATGAAATAATTTTAAATTCCCTGTCAACTAGTCATTGCCTAACTTTAGAAAATTAAATAAAACAAGTACATTTATTTTGAACATAATAGCAAAGCAATGTTATTTAAGTTTTCAATTTGCAATTGTGAAAAATGTAGTTCAAGGAACATATCCATAAAAATAAATAATGTTTAAATATTCTTCAGAAAGGCAAAACTCCAGATAGTTTCTTAATATCATAGTTGAAGAAGAAATGATATTGTTCTTAACAATTTCATGTATATATTAGAGTCTAATACATCTCTAATGAATTTTAAAATATGAAATTATATCCAATATTTGATGTTGACCAGACTGGCATTACAAGCCAGTGGTCCCCAACTGATATGGTTTGGCTGTGTCCTCACCCAAATCTCATCTTGACTTGTAGCTCCCATAATTCCCACATGTTGTGGGAGGGAACAAGTGGCAGATCATTGAATCATAGGGTGGTCTCCCCATGCTTTTCTCGTGGTGTGAATAAGTCTCACGAGATCTGGTGGTTTTATAAGGGGAAAACCCTTTTGCTTGGTTCCCATGCTCACTTGCCACTGCCATGTAAGAAGTGCCTTTCCCCTTCCATCATGATTGTGAGGCCTCCCCAGCCACACAGAACTGTTAGTTCATGAAACCTCTTTTTCTTTATAAATTACCCAGTCTCGGGTATGTCTTTATCAGGGGTGTAAAAACGGACTAATAAACCAACATTTTTGGCACCAGGGACCGATTTCATGGAAGACAATTTTTCCACAGATGCATGGCAGAGGATGCAGGGGATGGTTTCAGGATGAAACTGTTCTACCTCAGATCATCAAGCTTTAGTTAAATTCTCATAAGGAGTATACAAGCTAGATCCCTTGCATGCATAGTTCACAGTAGGGTGGTTCTCCCATGAGAATCTAATGCCCCCACTGATCTGACAGCAGGCAGAGCTCAGGTGGTAATGCTTGCTAACCCATCCATCACTCACCTCCTGTTCTGTGGCCTGTTTCCACAGATGGCCAGGGGCTTAGGAGTTTCCTGATGTAAGCTATAGAAGCAACAGTAATTTCCAAAACAATGCCATATTTGGGTGCAATTACATGTCTATAAAGCAAGTGATTTCCAAATCTTACACTATTTCCTGAATTCCCATGCAAACTCATTAGGCTGAATATTTCTAAAACCAAAAAAATTAGTTGATCACAAAAGTGCAAATTGCTAAAACATATTTATATAACCTGTTAAGGCAATCAGGACTCAGTTCTACTTCATCTGACATATGACTAGATGGGACAACTTTCAGAAAACTGAATCGCTTTAAAGTATTTGAAATTAAGGCAATGGAAAGAAGAGGAAGTGAATTGAAGAAAGGAATATTTTCTAGATGTCCCGAGTCACAACTTCAAGACAAAGACAGCGACACAAGGCTGTGGAGGAAATCGTGCTGGCACATAGCAAGGTATGTGAAAGGGGCAAGATTCAGTTTTAGCAAAGATGTACAATTCACAGGCACACTGCAAGAGCAATTGCAACCCCCAAGCAAGGGGAAGGGAGTGTGGAAACACCTGCAGGTCATGAGATGTTACATTTCAGGATCATTCGTCCATAGATACATTCATCAATGTCACCTACTACCATAGGATATTAAAGCAAAGGTACCCCATCCTTTATGAGCTTTTTTCCTTTAACTGATTTACAGAAGTGGGGAACTTGTAAATACATATTCTTTTTTCCAGTAGACAATATAATTTTTAATAATCATCTATGGCTTAAAAGCACTTAAAGAGTTGTAAATTTTGTAGGCCTTTTTACTCCCCTTGTCTAACTCTCTTGGCAAATTTACAATTTTATGCATTTATGTGGATTTCCATACTGCCTTACGTCACATGATCATATTTTATTTCTATTTTCTGAAATTATGAAAGAGAGCTAATGTATCACGATGCATTAAAGTAATAAATAACTAATTCACATAGTTGTCATCAGTTTATTTCTAGTGATTAGCAGTTGTATCCTCTGTATGATCTAAATTCTTGCCTCAGAAAGGGATTATTTCTCAGAAATATTACTATATATTCTGTGGTTTCAAAGTTACATACTAAAAAATGATGAAATTCAAATTATTAAGTTCTTTTTACTTTTTTTTTTTTTTTTTTTTTTTTTGAGGCAGTCTTGCTCTGTCACCCAGGCTGGAGGCAGTGGCACAATCTCGGCTCACTGCATCCTCTGCCTCCTGGGTTGGAGCAATTCAGCCTCAGCCACCCAAGTAACTGGGATTACAGGTGTGTGCCACCACACCCTGCTAATTTTTGTATTTTTAGTAGACACAGGGTTTCACCATGTTGGCCAGGCTGGTCTCAAGTGATCCACCGTCGCTGGCCTCCCAAAGTGCTGGGATTACAGGAGTGAGCTGCCCCGCCCGGCTGAGTTGTTTTTACTTTTAATGAGGAAGATATGTAATTGTTAATACATGAACAGATGAAGAAACACAAATGAGCTATTAACATTGTGATATAAAGGATATACTCTGGCTTTTCCAAAACAAAAAGATCACCTATTATACTACACATTTACATTTTTTTTTAAATGTTGAAACTAAGTTTAAAAAATTCTGTTAACCTTCAACTCAGATCATATTTCTACTAAGGAAAACAAAGAAAAGAAAAAATGGCCAGGCACAGTGGCTCACGCCTGTAATCCCGGCACTTTGGGAGGCCGAAGCGAGTGGATCACGAGGTCAGAAGTTCAAGATGAGCTTGACCAAGATGGTGAAACCCCATCTCTACTAAAAATACAAAAATTAGCCAAGCAAGATGGCAGGTGCCTGTAATTCCAGCTATTCTGGAGGCTGAGGCAGGAGAATTGCTTGAATCCAGGCGCCAGAGGTTGCAGTGAGCCAAGGTTGTGTCACTGCACTCCAGCCTCGGTGAGAGAGTGAGACTCCATATCAGAGAGTGTGAGAGAGAGAGAGAGAGAGAGAGAGAGAGAGAAAGAATAAGATTAGTACCTTAAATGACAAGAGAAGACAAATTACAAAAAGAATAAAAGAATGCAGACATGCCTGCTTACAGCCAAAAAGAAGTCAGAATGTGGAATTAAAGTTTCCAAAAATTTGAAACTGGAAGCATTTCTCTCTTTTCCTTTATAAATTTAATGGACAAAAATATCAGCAAATGTATATTTTCAGTTAAACATTTTAACCAGCTACTTATGATTTCAAAGGCAGCTCAGGCATCAGAATACATATGATTTGTATAGCATAGATTACAGTGGTCTATAAAAGATAATGGAGAATCTGTTTTGCAGAATTTAAAGAGAATGGTGATTAACAGTTCCAGTCTTAGAAGCATCCCCCAAAACCATTATTTATTGGAGTTCAAAGTCACGAACATATCTAATTATGGTTTGAAGTTTTAAAAATACCCCCCCCAAAATGCTAAACTTAAGGAACATACCTACACACACACATCCAAATAGCATGATGGAAACTTAAAGCTAACAAGAAATGCATAAGAGTTAGGTTATAACACA